CAGTTGTTGATGGCAAAGTGACACTGACAGCAAGAATGCAATCTGGTGAGTGACTGCCTTTGGGTTGGATGCATGCTGGCGTTGTGGAGCATTGACAGTTCTTGGTGGTGGTGACACGTGTCTCCGTTTGCAATCCTCATGTGAAGGATCGGGGATTGCTGGAGGAACACGCGCAGCGTTGCTGGGAGAAGATAAGGGAGGAAGAACGGCAGATGGTGTGCATGGGATATGACTCCCATAATGACCAGGCGATGTGGTCGATCGTGGAAGACTCCTGCACCGAGCAAGCACGACCCTCGACGGATGACATGTTTCTGGAGGGCATTCGACGCAGACATGAGTGCACATCACTTATTGGGTGGGTCTCTGTCATCTGTCCCATGACATATGAGCATAGTGAACAAATGTGCATGAGATTCAGAGACCCTCTGGGTGTCCCTTTCCAGCTCACATACATAGATGGACTGCTGCGACACATTCAATACGTGGGTGATGACGACGCTCGTGCTGCATCGAATGCACAACAAACAACACAGCAGCAGCAGGACATTTCACATTTGCCAACTAAGGTCGACGGCCCGGAAACAACAAATGATGGGGGATGTTCTAATGCAGAACCCGACGATGGTGACACCCCTGCGGAGCACGTGACAGGGAGGGCAGAGAAGAAGAAGAAGCAGTGCACGTCTAGGCCGCCTCGTGGACTCGGGAGTTCCACAAAAGCAAAACGCAAAGAAAAAGATGTCCTTGATGGAGACCAGACTTCCAAAGCAGCCGCTGACCCACTTCCAAAGCGCAGGCGCCGCGCAGGGATGACAGCATTGGCAAAAATTTGGCAACTCCAACGATCTATTCACTTGTGCATCGCTTTGAGGACGTTCATGAGGGTCGTGTGCGAGGTTGTCGAGAAAGAAATCGCACCAGGGAAATCTATCAGGTTTCAGATGAACGCCATACGTGCGTTGCGGGAAGTGGCCGAAGCATATCTCATCAACCATTTCGAGAGAACAAACATCATTGCTATCCACTGCAAGAGGGTGACGATCCAGCTGAAGGACCTGAAGCTGGTTGTTGCTCAAAGTATACAGTGTGTGTGTGTGTGTGTTGTTAAATATCTTTTATTAGTGTTCCTTTCAATGACAGCAATGTTTCAAGAAATCCGCACTTATTCGAAGCAACAATGCGATTATTGTGGTACACAGTTGTCACAACTACACAAACAGGACAGTTGTGTTTAATGTCACAACTGCCCAATACAGAGGATGTGTCATCGATTATGAATGTTTCACATGTCAATCAAGGAAAACACCACAGAAGTGTGCAATATATTGGTTGACCAGTACGTGGCGACGGTGGAGAAGCTCATCAATCCCGTATGTTGACAACACATGCACCACACTGTAGTCGTACCGTCTCTCTCTCTCTCTCTCTCTCTCTCTCTCTCTCTCTTTCTGTGTGTGTGTGTGTGTGTATGTGTGTGCCTGCTACGTGTGTATGTGTGTGTGTATGTGTGTGTGTGTGTGTGTGTGTGTGTGTGTGTGCGCGCGCTCAGGAAACGAGGATGTGACACTTAGAAAGAAAATGTGGCATATCTCGAAGAAAAGAGAAAGAAAAAAAAAGGCGAAACATTCACCACAATTCTTGATTTTAATACCGCTTGGAATGTTGTCGTTGTCTTGGAATCTGTCAGCAGTGCACAGCAGCGGTGTTGAGTCGACGGAAGGGAGAGGGGGGACGGGGGTGGGGGGAGTGTGAAAGGAACTCATGAATTTCACACCGAATGCGCATCCTCCATCTGCGATAGGTCTTAAGTGACATCACTTTGTATTTCTCGCACGTAGTTGCAATGGATGGCGCGAGTCACTTGTGTGACTGTGGGCGGCCTTTCATGTCATTACGGACGATGAACTCACACCAAGCGCGGGCATGTGGCCAAGGCTCGCTGGGTATACAAATATGAAGGCATTATCGACGAGCAGAAGCGAGCGGAAAAGCTACGGCAGATGAATGCTGCAAGGCAGGTCGAGAGAGAAGCGCAGGCGGGGAAAGGGGTGCCTGAGAAGACAGCAGTAGCACGGAAAGGCGGTGACACTCCAGCGGGGTCGTCGAAGAGGAAAGGAGCGCCTCGCAAAGGCAATGCAGCAAAGAAAAGCATGAAATAAGAACACAGTGAAGACTGCACTGAGACCAGTTTGCACACACACAAATATAATGTGTATGAGTGTGCAAGTGCGGTGTTGACTGTATGCACTTGCATTGACTTGCTGTTTTCTGCAGCCTGCGCCGGCGCACAGAGGTTGTACTGTAGTGTGCTGTGTGCTGTGTACTGTAGTGTGCTGTGTACTGTCGCCGGTGCACGACGTGTGCTGCACGAGTATGGGGTCAGCAACGGTCTGACTATCCTGTTGTGTGCTGCATGAGCTGCGTACTGGTGATTCTGCATGAGCTGCTGTGTGCTGCATGAGCTGCTGTGTACTGTGTGCTGTGTGCTGCATGAGCTGCTGTGTGCTGTGTTTTGCATGAGCTATTGTGTGCTGTGTGTGTTCTGTGTGTGAGTTGCTGCGTCCTGTCTGTTGCATTAGCTGCTATGTGCTGTGTGCTGCATGAGCTGCTGTGTGCTGTGTGCTGTGTGTTGTGCAACTGTGTGCTGCATAAGCTGCGTACGACGCGTGCTGTGTGCTGCATGAGTCTGTGTGCTGCATGAGCTACGTACTGGCGATCCTCCTGTGTGCTGCATGAGTCTGGGGTCAGCAACGGTCTTGGCTATCAGAGGTCTGATAGTGGAGAGCATGTGGTAAGCTGCAGACCCTCCTCAGGTATAGGGTCCAGCTAGCGAGATGCAGCCATAGCTGCTTGTTCTCAGAGACTTCATCGTCTGAACTTCATCGACGTCAGAGACTGTTGGTGCTGTGCTTCTTCTTCATCCTCAGTGTGAGCCTGTTTCATGGTGGCGCTGGCCTCTGAGTTGCTTGTCAGGGCGGCGCGGGATGTTATCTGGGATTGAGGTGCTATTTTTCGTGTCTGTTGCCGGCTGGGTGGTTGGCGCATGCAGGGTCTGGGGATCGCACTGTACCAACGCAGGACCTTTATGCTGAAACGATGCTCTCTGTTTAATTAACTCAGGGGACTTGAACACTCTTTGTAATCATGATATTGATAAAATAAGTTGCGCAACTCTGTTCTCTTCTTCTCTATCCTTGTCTATGGTGTGAAGATTTGTGCTCATTCTGGTTGTTGACGATGCATGYTGTGAACWCACTTGCGYSYRATGGTGTGAAGACTTCTGCCATTGTGAGATACACARCAGAGAGAATATGTGGAGAGGACTTGTTCTTACCTGGACTTCGCAATTCGTGTCGTTGATGATGAGCGCAGACAGCGCCGAGCAGATAACTTCTGGTAACGAAGGGGACGTGATACTTTGTTGAGCGTTGAACCCAGGAACTCTTGACTCTCTTATTGGATACTGGTTATAATGATTGATTCTGTTTTGTGGTCAACGACATCTACTCCTTTTGTGCAGTCTGATGGTGGTGACRTCATTGTGCTTAATGTCAGACTGCGACATGTGTGACAATGCAAGGTGACATGTGCACTCTATCGTAAGTACAGCGGGGAAGGCTCAATGCATATGTAGAGAGAATTCACTGTACTGTGTATTCTGTCACTTTGCTTCTGTGAGTCTTCCACTGCGTTTTCTTTTCTCCGCGTTGTGGCACTCTACTTCCTCTCCCCTTCTTTCTCTGCATGTATGGGCGTGTACGAGAGTCTATGTGAATGAGGGCTGACAAATGTGTGTCGTACAGTTTGTGTGAGTGTGTGTGACACATTGTTCACTAATTCTCTGTCTGTTTGTGTTGTCATATGCGCCGCACGGTTGAACCACCGAAGCAGAATTGTCGAACCAAAATCGGCATCTTCCCAAATATTCAGTCTACAGTGTACGCCGTTTCTTTCGTCGAGGAAGGTATCGTTGCCTGCGTACCTTGAAACTCAAGCCTGCCCTCACTCTCTTGCTCCTATATCCCATGTCCTGCTCTCCCTCTGTTTGTTTTCTTCTCCTTACAGCATGCACACTCCCAACTAAAACACACTCATGACGTCTGCGGTGGTGACGGGAAGTGACTATCATACTTCCCGTGTTTGTGACATTCCGTGACTTTCTGTGACACACGGACATACACACGGACATATACAGGCACACGGACATACATAGGCACACGGAAATACACAGATACACTTACATCCATACATACATACACAGACACACGGACATACACAGACACACATACATGTCACACACACACGGACGGACACACGGACATACACATACACATACACAGATACTGACACTGACACACGGACATACACTGACACTGACACGTACACAGACATATACATACTCAGACATACGGACATACACACACACAGACACAGACACACGGACATATACATACTCAGACACACGGACATGCACACACACAGACAGACACACACAGACACATACACAGATACACACACACACACACACACACACACACACACATACAAACACACACACACACACACACACACACACACACCCCACACACACGATCTTGGAGGAGGACTATTCCGTCTTAGGTAAGTTGTACTCTGCCCTCCATGGCTTTATGAATGAATGGTTTCTGGCCTTGTGATACGTACAATGCTCACACGTTTGGGAAGCTGGGGGTGTCATGGTGGCTTTGTCTTTGGTTGGCTGGTCAGCATGTTTCTAGGTTCGGGGTTTGGGGGGGGGGKGGGGKGGTTGGGGGGAACATGTCATTGGACCGCGGCACACCCCCTACCACTGTCAAACACAAATGGGAAGTGGTTTGGGCGGAGAGTGAGAGCAGGGTCGGAGGAGTTGACTACTGTGTGCCGGATTCATTTCGATCTCATTGATTCGAAGAAAAAATGGCACCCATTAGCCAACCCTCGTATGATGTCCGTGTACTGACCGGCAGCGTCGAACGACCGCATACTTCCAGTAGAGGGACACACAAACAACATTAAACAAACCCTCACGGAGCTTGAAATCATCGTTTTGCCGTTCCACTTATAGACACATAGACAAAAGCACAACCATCATGTCGATGTCAGCGGCGCAGGCGAGGGCAGCTCTTCAAGAGGTAATGCAATACGCGGAGGAGGGCATCCACTACGATGACGACGGGGAGCTTCGACTACTGACGGAGAGAGTGCCGAGTTACTTCGATGTCAGAGTGAACATTCGTGCAAGCATTGCTACGAACGGAGAGGAGTCGTTCAGAGCACGGATGCTATTGACACGGTTCACTGAGGCGCATGATTTACGTGTAGACAACAGTGCTGATACCAGTGCATACAGTTTGAGAAAAATGGTTGGTTGGATGTGCACAGAAGGGATGTCCGATGAAGGGGACGTGGATATGACAAAGCAGCAGAAGGGTGGAACATACACGCCGGCTGATTTCAAGCAGATGCTGATGACACAGGCGAAGAAATGGGGAATGCTTGTTGAAGATTCTAAGGACGAGATGAAGAGCGGTGCAACATAAATTTTATTACTCTCGCGTTTGAAGGACATACCGCAAGCTCCCCCGTAAAACTTCTAAGATCTTCCAGTAATTATTGCAAATGGGGTGGAGTATGTTTTACTCGACCAACTGGTGGATTTCATGAAGAAAAAAAACTGACGATCAGAATGTCATACATGAGGCATTGCATGATGTAACAGAGCAAGCACTGGCGGGCAAGGACCTCATTAACTACAGGGTGCGGAGTGTGGACGAGGATGTCGTATGTGGTACTCCATTGTGGAATGGAATATTCATGGCAGCTTTGCATCGCCTCAGCATTGCGACTTCTGAGGTGAACAGAAAGAGGTCAAGGGAAAAAGGATGGAAGTTGGTGGCCAGGGAAGCAGATGTTGCACTTCATGCAGCAGATGGACACACTTCAGCAGGGGAAGAAATTGTGAGAACAGTCTCCATCGTGCGTTCTCCAATAAACACAATGTCCACGGAGGAGGTAGAAGAAGAAGATGTGTTCAATGAGTGGACAATGACAGAACAACAACGGGAACGAGGGTTCGAAGACTCTTCTTTACCGATCGATTTTGAATATGACATTGAAGAAACAAGAGTGAGGAACAATGAAAAAGATGCGAGGGTGCCATCATATGAGTGGAAGTGAGTGGCGATGTGAGCAGCGACGAGGAGGGTGAGGAATATCATGCCTACTAGGATATGGAAGCAGGGGGAGGACAAACGTCAAAAGAGTGAGCACATGCGATTCTTAGGTTGACACGTGTATTCTCTAATTCCCATTTACTGTTGCGTGTCGTGCTGAAGGAGGCAACTCCTGAGGGCGCACTCCAATATACAGCACTGACGACCATTATGAGATCATGCTCGAACGGAAAAAGATGGTCACGTATGGGGAAGTCATGGTTTGTCTTGGTCAACAGAGAGGCTGTCCTCGCAACATCACTTACGTGGGGCCTGGACCTTAGTTGCCTCCTGCACGGGGCTGTAGCCAGCGGTTCTGGTGCTACATTGCACCCGACACTATCAACAGGAGAGGAAATACTTCGTGCTCACACATGGCTTCACTGCGCACAAGAGACCATGGTGGACAGCGGTGATACAGACATTGGTAGTGGACAGCGTTGAATGCAATTCTTCGATGCACAGGCTATGCATATCATGATTAATTCTGCACAACTCATTTACGGAGTATGTGCAATATTTTAGGTGTTCGAGTGCTCGACAACGGTGTACATGCTCTCTCTCTCTCTCTCTCTCTCTCTCTCTCTCTCTCTCTCTCTCTCTCTCTCTCTCT